TGAGTGAAACCTTCATCATCTCTCCTCACTGAGGGACCCGACCCTCCTCCTCACCGAGCCGCCCCCAGAGCGGCTGTGCGCGCCGCCGCCGCCGCCACCTCCTCCTCCTCCCTCCGCACCACGGGCAGCGAGCAGTGTCCTGCCTTCCTCCACCTCCCTCCTCACCACACCACAGCCAGCACAATGGCCTTTGAAAGCCTGTTCTCCAAACCCCCAAACCCAGTTCTTGACCCAAACATGCCCGACTCTGACAGGCAACATGCAGGGGACGAAAGGTCGAGTAACATTCTTCTCTCTCTCCGCTTCTCATAATGGTGATACTAGTGGGGTGATGATGCTGATAATGATGATGATGATGATGCTGCTGTGTGTTAAATGTGCCTAGGGGGTTAACTATTTTTGTGGGGACAGGTCACCTTCAGGCTGGAGGACTGGGGTGGTGGTGGTGATGGGGGAATGCAAGGAGGGGAGGGGGGTGTCACGGAATTAGAAATGCATTATTAGTAGGGCTTTATTTTTTGGAATGCATGCATTTTACATCTTCATTTATTTATTCTGGCTGGGAGAGGGGACTGTTTTCCATTTCTTTCCATAAATTGCACTTTCCAGCGGGTGTCTGTTGAATGTCACCATTGTTCTTTTTTCTCCTTTGCCCTGACGCTGCTAGACAGGTAGGAAAGGGTGCTTCAAGGTTTTCTGCTGTTGTTGTTTTTGTTCATACAAGAATCTCTCACTAGATCCATATTTAATGTCATTTTCTTGCCAATTAGACCTTACACATTTAACTGGATCTCTTTTTATGCAGATTAAGGTCTGACTGACGTTATCTTTGCCACCTCTCAATCCCCATGCGCAGAAAACCAGAGTCCTGTTCCTGGTGAAAGGACCTCTGTTCTCCTTCCCTTTCTCTCCTGCAGCTGCTGGAAATTCAGATCCTTTCTCCAGGCAGCTCCGGCCTTCCGAACTGGTTCCAGAAATACTGCGCCAGGGTGACAGCTACCAGTCCTTCAGTCTGCATTTACTCAGAACATTTGTGACACAACTGCAGGAGTTAAAAATGCTGGTTTTCCACAGCTGAGCTTCAGTCTGTCCTCCCCACACAGTTCCACAACCCTGCTTCATACTTGTTTCAGAGGACTGAAAAACACTGAGAATATAACCGTTCCCTCGCTGGAGAAAGAGTTGCTAATTCTGTGTTACAAATTGAGAAGTTGAGGGCCGAGCAAGCTGGCTAACTGGTTCAAAAATGCTACTGTGATTTAGTGACAGGTTCAGGGCAGACCCCGCAGTTGCCGATTCTTGTTTTTACCTTCCTGCTTTTAATTGTGAAATAGTGTAAATCACGTCATGCTGGACGTTCCAAAAGGAGTGCTGTGTAAAAGGCAAAGTAGTAATCCACTGGGATTGCTGAAGATACAGCATAACTACTTATTAAAGCTGCGCTACAGTAGCAGGCTAAGTTTAAATTAGAGTTTCTGGAGTTAGTAAGTCTGACTTTTTACTGTTTTCAGGAATTGAAATACTTTGTGTTTTGAAGTCCTCCTTGAGGACATGCCCAGGTTACCCACTATTCTGCTGCTGAAAGCGCAGGTTTTCTAACTTGAGTTACTCGTGGTGTTGGCCAGTAGAGTTCCTCTAACCAGCTGTTCTCACCAGCACACCTTTTGTTACACTGGTAAACTATGAAATAGAATAAATAAGAACTACCTGCTAGTCTAATGTACTCTTAATACAGGTTAACTTACCAACATTGCTTTATAATGTTTTAATTTCAGAAGAGCAGAAGACTAACTATAAACACATTTACTTGTTAAATAATACTTTTTTGTAAACAAGATTTTTATAAAACTTCTGGTCCCCTCTGATCCAAGGTGTGTATAGTAAAGTGTAGTCAATATACCCAGAGCATTGCTAAAAAAACCCAAAAAGCCCCCCCCAAAGTCGTCATTATATTAGGTGTACTAATGTAATCCTGTCAAAATGTAATATTTTAACTTTCTGAATTTTATAAAGATTTCCCAAACAGTTGGTGACTGGGAAGGCCTAAAGAGAAATAGGATCTTTCCTGTTCACAGAAAACATGGTTGACTTGCCAAGGGGAGGGGCAGCACAGCTTTGACTGTGAACATTTTTTTTGTACTAAATTATTTTTGTCCAGTCTCCTTTGTAGTCAGTTGAAAAGCCAGTTGTAAGTGGAACAGAAAACATGCGAGTGCCTGATATGCTTGTATTTGGAGTTACCGTGGAGTCTCACTGTAGTACGAGTTTGGTATTTTAAAATTAACATGTCTACTTTTAATACATTTTATGTTGCAATCAGTTTTTGATTGCATTGTTAGCTCGGTCGGACTAGTTTACTGTAGCTACAGCCCATAACAGGAAGCTGCCGAAATCATTGAGCAGATTAGATCAATTTGTGCAGCGCAAATTAATATAATTTCTCTTAACAGTTAGTTCGGTTTTGAATTGATCTGTGGAATTATAAAGAAGTTGGTTAGTGGTTTTGAGTGGTAGAAAATAGTAAAAAACCTTGTCTGTCAGCACTTTGAATGTTCTAAGTTGAAAGCTTGTTTTGATCCAAAGTCTTTGTTTTCTTGGTTTATAGATGGGGCACCTGATTAAGTGAGGAAGATTTCTCATTCTTTAAATATTTTTAGTTAACTCATTGCGGAGATCTTCTCTTTGCTGAAGCATTTGAGACCACCTGTACACACAGATAACATGTCTTTTTAATGTTTTTCCTGTAAGGTTAGGTTTTATTAAGGATTGCTTGCGATGTAGGTGATCTTTGGTAGGGTAAAAAAGAAGTCTGAGGCAGGGTGCAGGCAAACTCTGTTACAGCAAATGCATAGACAAAACCAAAATCCTCTTTTGAGTATCCACAAACACAGCTGCCCTTGCCATCTGCAAGGTGAGACTGTTGAAAAGCAGAGCATAACTCTCAGAAAGGAGTCCTGGCATATGAGTGTCTGTGGGTGCAAATTATTGCGCTCTTCTGGAGGTCAGCAAGGTCTGATTACTTGCATTAGTTTGTGGTTGCTGTCACCGTCATCTGCAGAACCGGGCACTTCATGCTTCTCTTAAAACTGTTTTGTAGGCATTGTCCCACCCAAATGCCATGCTGTAGGTTAATGTACAGGCCTAAGAGAACAACTAAGCACTTGCCACAAACATAAAAGAATTCAGTCCTTATGGAGACTTCTTTGGGCTTTGCTTTTCTGACTAATAGTGAGCACTTACAGGCATGAGGACTTGTTTGCTACAGTTGGTTCTGCATTTGAAATTGGTGCCAGATTTACCGTTGCCAGAGAATATAGAAAATAACTTGGAGTTAATTTAGTTTTAAAATCTAAAACATTAGGTTGGTATTGATACTCTGTTGGCTCTCTTTGCATTACTGTCATTTAATCTCCAGACGTGGAGATTTCTTACGGCATTATCAGCTGTAAAAATAGCAGTGACTTAAAGATAGGTCTGAACATCGAAGTGCTAACTCAGGTCACAGAGGGGCAAGTAATGCTTGTGTAGCCAGCATGGTCTTTTGAGTTGCATTGCAAGTGTAAGTATTAGGCCCTTTTTTACATGCTAATGGTACAATAAAGGAAATTCTCCATTAGAGACAGTGCTCCATCAGGCACAGGAGTGGCCTGTGCAAAGTTTCCTTAGGAAACTGTCCTCATGTTTTCTGCAGGGAATGTTTGGAAATGCCACTTAAAAGCTGGGTTTGTCTGTTGCATTTCAGGTTCCTTTTCCCGAGAACCATGCTAATCCCCATTGTACACTTTTCCTATTATGTATGTGGTTTAATTTTTACATTTTTAAAACTAAGTTGGTACAGGGACTTTCAACTGATTTGAGTTTTGCAAAGCATAGCTGCTGTGTTTGATTATGCCACTCTGTCTACTTCTTGCTGTGGTACTGCTCTTGCAAAGCCTTTCCTTGGCCAGCTACGTGTGCCTGGTGTACATCCAGATGAGCCAGGTGAACAGAGATGCCACCCAGCCACCCCTTTGTTTTTATTTTATTTTCCCAGTTTCCTCTTCCAGCTGTCTTAGGAATTGCCTGTTCCCTTTCCACATACCAGCTTTGCACTCTTGTCCTCAGCGAGCATGATTTACACTGCTGCTTTAATAGGTCTGTCTGGCTCACTCTAATGGAGACCTCTGCTAAATTACAGCCGGTGGCAAGTAAAGGGAAGAATGTAAGTGGCAGGTTGTAACCAAGACGAACAACAGCAAACTGAAATGTGTTATATACCTTAGTTGTACGTTTTCACCATTACTACTTAGTCAACTTTATATTGCAAGCGGCTTTACCTGCCTTGTCTCCATTCGCATGGCTCCAGCTCAGTGAAGCACCGGTAGTGTTACAGAGCAAGAAAGCATTTGTGGAGCAGAAGGGCTAAAGATCTCTAATCCCCAGCTGCTATTGTCCAGCCGATTGCTCTGCCAGTCTCCCTTGCCCTGAGGCTTCCATCCATCTTCAGTTAAACTTGACAACTTAAATGTCTCTTAATGCCTGCTGTCTACATGTGCATAATTTGGTTTGAAAATGTTTGCTTATAGCTGGTTTTAGAGTTCGTGGTTGGTTTGGTTTGTTGTTTTTTTTTTTTCCCCAATGATGGTTAATCACCAAAGAATGTGTTCATATAAGTTGTTTGTGATCACTGAATGCAGCCTTGTAGAGATTTACTGGTTTTGAGCATGATTTCAAAACTTGCTTTGACATTAGGAAAGTAGGAAGTGAAGGGAGAATGATTCCCAAATATGGCCTGTGGCAAACAAGGCTTGCTTGCCATCCAGCAAACATTGCAGGAGTGGCAACAGCTCAGATAGCTGTTACTCCTTGTAGGAGGAGGTGGTCTGTGTGATTTTCTGTAATCTCTTCTACATTTTGAAATCCCAGAGACTGGAGATGGTGAGACAGCAGGGTGAGAAGGTGAGCTGTTCAGAAGTTGCTCATTGGCCTCCAGTACCACCACAGCAAGCTATTTTTTGGCGTGCCTCACTGCTCTCTTTCTCACTTCCTTCTCCCATTTTATGGGAACACAGTATCTGTTATAGCCAGCCCTGGGGATGAAAGCAAAAAGAGAGGTTAAAAAAACCCAAGCAATCTGTTCTGTAACTTTTCATGATGCATTTTCACTGCCTGGCTGTAGGTTAAAATAATTTCACATTTGGAGAGTGGTCAGAGCTAATGGGCAGCTGAAAAGTGCTGTAAGTGACCTGCATCACATTGTCGAAGAAGCCAGTTCTACTTAGACACTGGCTTGTTA